ATTGCTGGTAAGTCCCCATCCACAGGGCTATTGAGGCAATCTCTCCTGTGGGAGCTGTGCCATTGTATAGCTAATTAAATATGGGGGGGTGGGGCGAGAGCAAAAGTGATCACCTACACTGTAGCCCAAGGGCTCGGACCCTCATCTATGCTGTGGGGAAACCCAGGTTCCAGTCTCTACAGCCCCATGGGATGTAATCATGTATTCAAAATGAACAGCTCCAATCTGAGAAAAACAGATGGTATAGCCTGATGGGTTAGCTTGCCTGGGATGAAAGCAGGGACTTGAAGTGAGTTATTGGCTATTCAAGAAATGGAGCGGGTGTTTCTCTCTTTTTTGTGCAACGGGTTTTCTTGGTGGGGGGAAGGGGTGTTCTCACCTCCTCAAACACATTTCCTGCTGTGTCCATTTCATCCTGATGTGGAACAAACAAAACTTTCAGAAACTTTGAAATTCTTTGCAAACTAGGATGATTGTTTTCCAGCCAGTCCTAATCAGCAGTAACTCTACTGAAGTCAATGGGTATACACTAGGAGTTCTTTAAACTCTGAATGGGTATAACTGGGCTTCTATCTACTAACTGGGAATGGGATAGGAGTGAGAGGAGAACAATAAAATGATATTTTTTTCTCTTTAACTGTTGTTTTCTATATTGGCAGTGCCCCTTTAAATTGCACAAAGGTTCTACTGATTGGTAATGCTCAAGCCACTTTCTTGGGACTGTTTTGTTTTTTACCTCATTCCTTGTCAGTTACAAGAAGAGGTGATGTGATGGTTGTTAAAGGTCTCTAAGTGCTTTTTTGTAGCTTTTGCTCTCCTGGTTCACACAAATGCAAGAAAGCTTAGCAACTTCCTGTTCAGTATGTTCATTTTAATAGCTTTGTATTTTAAATTAGTGACACATGGCAAGTGGATCAATTTGGTGGAATACCAAAAGGGTACAGAAGACATAACTGTGCTTCAGTTTGATGCACTGAAGTGCCAACACATAGGGGTAGAAGAAAGTCACCTCTGGGCAACTGTAGTTTAAGGAGACAATTGGTTAATTGTGATAAAACTGAACCTACTACACAGCCACCTTTGCCTCCACCCCGAATACCACCAAGAGCAGCTCAGAATGTAGGCCTTAGCCTGTAAGCTCCTCGGGGCAAAGACTCAGTCTTCTTTTTCTGTAAAGCAACATGTACTGTACAAAGAAAAGCAGTGGGATGTTAAAGCGGCAAAGAGTCCTGTGGCACCTTATAGATTAACAGAAGTATTGGAGCATGAGCTTTCGTGGGTGAATACCCACTTCGTCGGATGCATGTCATAGGATGTTCTGATCTCAATCCAGAGTTGTGATTCAAGCCCCTCTCTGATGTGAACATAAATATCATTTGCAATGTACAGGCTGAAAGAAGGTAAGGGGATAAAAAGACGCAGGTGGCCTGTACATATTAAATCACAAGAGATGATGAGGGACTTGCTCATTTAAAGAAATGCATCCATCCTAGTCCTTCCAACACAAGTAACAAACCACAAGAGGGCAGCATCACTTAAGACTTCACATTTCAAAAGGAAACCGCCACAAGTACTCCTGTTCTTTTTGCAAATACTTTCAAAAGAGGAGCGGGGGGAAGCAGGGGACTTAAATTCGTAACTCTGCTAGATACTAAAAACCATGGACTGAACAGAGACACTGGATTTATGGCTTAGTACAACAATCTGTAACCCACTAAGCCCCTTGTTTTGGCCTATGACTGCAGGGCCACTCTCCATTGAATGGTCCCTTACAATATGTGTTAACTACTTATTATGCTAAACAATCTGTTTGACCTTGCATTTTGTTGTGACGCTGGGAGTTCCTTTCCCAGACCTGAAGAAGAGCTCTGTGTGGCTCAAAATCTTGTTTCTCTCTCCAACAGAAGTTAGTCCAGTAAAAGATAGTACCTCACTCTGCTTGTCCTTACTTCCTCGTCCAGGCTTTCCTTGCTTCACAACAGCCCATCTACGAGTTAATTAACAGGGGGAATGGTATGGAAAGTAATCAGAATTAATATTCAACCGTTATAATCTCAAAGCTCTTTACAAAGGCAGGCAAGTAGTATTTCCCCATTTTCTAGAGAGGGAAACTGAGGCACAGTTTAGTGAACTGACTCATCTCTAATCATACAATGAGTTGCTGGCAACTCTCAGTCAAGTGCCTCACACAAGATCACAGTTAAACCATTGACAGCCCAGAACTCTGAATGCATGCTGCTCATTAGGTACTCTGATACAGAAGGAACCATTGCAGCTTTTATCACTCTTTGGGAGGACTAGGGGAAAGTACCTGACAATGACATACATTCTACGGAGCAGCGACCATCTTTTATTATGCGTGCACAGTGGCTAGTGCAGTGGGGCCGTGATGCTTGACTGATGGCCCCTAGACACTGCCATAATACAAATAATGCCAACATTCCCACTAAGTCCAGGGCTGGACCCAAAGGCTGATCTGGATCTCTAAAGGGCCTAGCTTCCCAACCTGTATCTGTATTGGCTTTATGAAGCACCTTTGCAGAATCACTGCAGAGATCTTCAAGATAAAGGTTCTTCAATGGTCCCTTATTTGCTAATTGAAAGCCATGGAATTTCTGTATTTGTTTTGTGACAATCAGTTTTAAAAATCCAAAACAATGTTTATGTAAGTGAGCATAATCCCCATCCAGCATATGCATGGCAGGCTCTTGTGCAAAGCCACCTTTAGGAGTGAGTTGAGGTTTGTCTTCATTCTGCTACCTAAGCAATTAATTAACTTAAACAAATCCATGGGCACGGACTGTACTTACTGACTGCAGTCACTGACAGTTTAGCACGTTCCTCAGCCATATTTCCTCCCAGGCTGTTTATCCCGAGGAGTTCTCGTCCCTCCCTCTAGCAGATGTTCTCGCTTTAATCTCAGCTTGACACTCAACCTTTATTTTCCTTATTTTGAGCTAATGAGCGCTGGTCTGGCTGCTGGCATAAATCACCAGAGTCCCAAAGCTTGACATGAATCCTGTCAAAGCTGGTCTCAATTGCATATCACTAGTTTATTCACAGAACCAAATCTAAAAACCTGCCTCATATAAAGAAAGTGCAAACTTCATTTCTCTTTTGGCACCATCAGGTATAGTTCAGAAACAAATGATATGAGATCAGAGCAGGGCCCAACTTCCCAGCTTATTTCCCACATTTTCATTTGGCTCACTTGCTGGTTGTATTATTGACCTCCCTATCACTGACAAGGCAGACTCCATTTTTCTCTATTTGCTGCGATATGTAGCTGTGTACATCAGAGGAGAAGTTTTTGGTTGTTGTTTTAGTTTAGTGTTATTGGTTTTTTTGCTGCTCCAGACTGAGCCTCAGGAGATCTGGGTTCAAGGCCTACTTCTGCCCCAGACTTTTTGTGTGACCTTGAGCAATTCAATTATCCGGTGCCTCTGGTTTCCATCTGTAAAGTGAGATTATTTCTGCCACCATTTGTCTGCCTTGTCTACTAAGAGTGTAAATGCTTTCCTGCAAGGCTGTCTCTTACTACTGTATGTAAAGCACCATGTGTGCAATGAAGCTGTCATAAATATAAAGGGAAGGGTAAACACCTTTAAATCCCTCCTGGCCAGAGGAAAAACCCTTTCACCTGTAAAGGGTTAAGAAGCTAAGATAACCTCGCTGGCACCTGACCAAAATGACCAATGAGAAGACAAGATACTTTCAAAGCTGCGGGGGAGGGGAGAAACAAAGGTTCTCTCTGTCTGTGTGATGCTTTTGCCAGGACCAGAGCAGGAATGCAGGTCAGAACTCCTGTAAAAACTCAGTAAGCAATCTAGTTAGATATGCTTTAGATTCTGTTTTGTTTAAATGGCTGATAAAATAAGCTGTGCTGAATGGAATGTATATTCCTGTTTTTGTGTCTTTTTGTAACTTAAGGTTTTGCCTAGAGGGATTCTCTGTGTTTCGAATCTGATTACCCTGTAAGGTATTTACCATCCTGATTTTACAGAGGTGATTCTTTTACTTTTTCTTTAATTAAAATTCTTCTTTTAAGAACCTGATTGCTTTTCATTGTCCTTAAGATCCAAGGGTTTGGGTCTGTGTTCACCTATGCAAATTAGTGAGGATTTTTATCAAGCCTTCCCCAGGAAAGGGGGTGTAGTGCTTGGGGGGATTTTTTGGGGGGGAGACATTTCCAAGTGGTCACTTCCCCTGTTATTATTGTTAGACACTTTGGTGGTTGCAGCGTTTAACCTAAGCTGGTAAGAATAAGCTTAGGGGATCTTTCATGCAGGTCCCCACATCTGTACCCTAGAGTTCAGAGTTGGGAAGGAACGTTGACAGGGACCCTGGTCTTACTTGGGGTATCTATGTGCTACGGAAGTAAAGTTCAAGGAACTTACTGCTATGGACTTTCCCTACAGACAAATTTCAGAGGCATGTGTGGGAGTATTTGCAAAACACAAATTTTATATTCAGACACAGATACAGCACCTGCTGAGGGTTGATGGGTTGACTTACTGGGATCTACGGTTTGCTTTATTCCAATTTCTACAGCTATCAATCTATCTACCTGAAGGTCTTATCCTGCTGTCCATCACAACAGTATCTGAATGCCTTCCACATAAAATCAATAGAAACAGCAAAGGCCCTAGTGCACTGTGGTATTTCTACCTTTTTGGAGTCACAGCTCTGTTTGGGATAGGCCTTTATTTTGTTTTTTGGGTGGGGAGGGTTTAGAGGCAGAAGGGAATGTGAATGTCATTGTTATGGTGGGAAGGTTTTTTCAAACCAAAACGTATTGCAGCATTTCCAGAAGCCGGTCAGACACTGGCTGGACCTGCTCTCCTCTGAAGTTTGTCCCATATATATCCACTGTACCTTCAGAATGACAACTAAAGAAGCCAGTAGCATCAGACAGTCAATTTTACTTTTGGAGAAACACATGGTAATGTTTATTGGACTGTGTGAGCTGGAGTATGATGTTTTATTTTATGCTTTTTAAGGGGATGACGGTGAAAAAGGAGATCAAGGGGAGGTTGGAAAACATGGAAAAGTAGGCCCCAAAGGACCAAGAGGTACGTGTGGTAGTTTTGACAGTATTAATATAAGGATATTAATACAAATAAAACAGAACAATATGCCAATTGCTAGTAATGATAATGCTTAATACCTTGGACTGATGCTGTACCAAGAGATCTCAGAATATTTTCTAAACATGAATTGATTAAGGCTAACAACATGCCAGAATTACTATTAATATGGGTATTACTATTACTGTGTTATACCATAAGAAAGTCACAACTCATGATTGACTGAAAACAGTTGTGTGACAGGCCAATAAGTTTCTATTGCTGACTTCCTTCTATTGCGGCAGTTCATCGTGACTGACGCGTGTGGAAGATTGTTAGCCGATCAGATCACATATGCACATCTTGGCCTCACGGCTAGTTCATCAAAAGTAACCTGGGCCCTAATTTAATCTCCTCTTCAGAATGTGAACGAGAGGAAAAACTGCAACATGTCTGAAATGTATGGCTATGATGGAGGGATTTCCATTTAGCTCTGATTAGGAACATTCAAAGCCACATGTAACAATACATAGCCTGACTTCATATTTCAACATACATCAAGGTTTTATTGTCCCTTGAGTCAAATACCGCCTTGGGTGAAATCTAGGCTAAGAGTTGCCTCTAGGTCAATAAATCTTGACATTTATCTCAACAGAAGCCAATATCTGTGGAATTTTCAAATTTACAGATGAGCACTGATGCATAGAGGCCCATATCTCAATAGTATTTAGGCTGCTCCCATCCATTGAAATCAATGGAAGGTAGGAGCCTAAATATCTGTAAGGATCTGGGCCAGAGAGACTAGGTGAATTACCTACGGTCAAACAGCAAGTCGCTGTCTCAACTGGGACTAGAGCCAAGGACTCTCAGCACTCTGCTGTATTAGACACACCCCCTCCTTGGATAATGAACAGTACAACAGCATTCAGAGGCAGAGATAAGTACTGCTAATTACAGATTTAGAGTAAAGCTTATTTGGGTGTCCCATCTCATACTTTAACCAGCTGTTTTTGCAATACTGATGCATACACATGTTCATTCTCCCATCTGGCAATGGGCTAAGTATTTCAGGGTGCTAATCCATAGCATTGTTTTACATTTTATAGCTAGAATATTTTTTAAAATTTTATTTACTAGCTGTTATAATGAATAGATCCTCTAATTCTGTATATACATGGGCTACATAGGACCATGCATGACATTGCTTCAAATCATAAAATAGTGACTGGAGCAGAGTAGAAGGAAAGGGATTAGTTAACAAGTGTGTTTATTAAATGTTTTTGTGGCATTAAAGTCATATGTGCAGATGCAGAGCCCAGAAAACTAGGAGCTCATAATTTAGCCAGCCAATTTGCAACATAAAACAATGGCAAGTATAAAGGTGCGTATTACCATCGGAAAAATCCTGTAGTGACATTCAGCGAAAACACTGGGCCACATTTGGCAATCCTGACTTTTATCACAAGTAAGGACTTCAGAATTTGGTCCGGTAAAAGAAGTAAAAAAAAATACTTGACAGGGGTTCTCAAACTTCACTGCACTGTGATCCCCTTCTGACAAAAATTACTACATGACCCTAGGAGTGGGGACCGAAGCCTGAGCCCACCAGAGGCCTGTCACCCCAGGCAGGGGGGCCAAAGCCGAAGCCCGAGGACTTCAGCCCCAGGCAGGGGGTCAGTAGCCTGAGCCTTGCTGCCCAGGGCTGAAGCCCTTGGGCTTTGGCCCCAGGCACTGGGGCTCAAGCTTCAGCTTTGGTCCCGGGCCCCAGCAAGTCTAATACCATCCCTGGTGACCCCATTAAAACAGCGTCATGACACACTTTGGGGTCCCGACCCATAGTTTGAGAATCACTGAGCTATTGGCTATGGATTAGCTCTGTAGCATAATTAATATACGAATAACTAAAATGGCTTTTAATCTGTATTTTCAATATAAAAGATGATGCCTCTGGGTATGTCAATTGAGAGTTTTAATATAACAGTTCTGAAATGTCATGCTGTTTAGTCCATAGTACAGGGGGTCAGAACCATCCATTAGTAGTTGTCCTAATACCTCCAGACACAGGCCTTGCAGTGCTGAGCAGACAAATCCCTAAATACATTTAAAATTCTGGGCCAGGGAGACTGAGCAGGAGGGGGAAAGATAGGAGATCCTCTGCATAAAATCAATGGGAATCTTGTTTAAATCTTTTTTTTCCAGCATGAAAGTTACATTTCTGATGCCTGCTAAGAACTTATCAATTACAGAGACTGACAAGGATAGAGAGCTTAATTTTTGGCCAGCACATTGCGGGACCTCCAAAGCTAACGGCATGAGCTGCTATGTCACAGACTCATATTCCCTGTGGATCGGCCCAGAAGAGGCCCGGTAACACACATTGCTTGATTGCACTTGCACACCTTCAAAAAGTAACAAATCATCTAAAGAGTTAAACAGTGTCCTCTGGATGGGTTGAACCATTCATCTTCTTTTCATTGCTTTCCTTTTCAGGAAACAAAGGAGCAGTGGGGGATAGTGGGGATCAGGGAATGACTGGGAAAATTGGCCCAATTGGTGGCAAAGGTAATTTATTGTTTCATGTTTTGTTTTGTTTTTTTTTGTAAAGGTACATATTCAATTATGACATGATTTGTATGTTTTTAAGAATTACAGCTATTAGGTAAAAATAATTCAGCTTCAAATAATGTCTGGTTTATTTTCCCCAAATATATTTACATAAGCAAATTGGGGATCATGATACAGTCTGGTGTGTGTATGTTCTAGCTAAACTAAGAAAGCTGATCTCTTTTAGATTACAAAATAAAAAGCACAGGCTGAAATCCTGGCTTCAATATGGCAAAACTCCCATCGACTGCAATGAGGCCAGGATTTTACCTCCTTGCTTTCAAAGCCAAGGATCATGAGTCAATATTCTGCTGCTTATTATTCATGCCTAATATCTGGAGCTAACTAACCACGTTGGTGTGCAATGGGCAAGCTCCTTGCAGGAGACCTAGATTTGGCAGTGATTTTAGGACTCATGTTCTGACACCAATTCCTTAGTCTGAGAGCCTGTCCCCTGTATATCAAGGTAGAATATAACTACACCTGTCTGACCTGTCAGAAGAGGCCCTCAGTTTTCCTAGTTGCTTCAGTAGAAATCTAGTTGTGGAAGACTGTTATTTCAGTCACATCTACAAACTATACACAAACAATTATAAGTTACTGTATAAATACATCAATAAACATGTGCCCTCTTTATTTGTATTGTTTGGTTTAACTTCCTCTTAGGCAGGAGGAAAAGGAACGACACTTTTATTACAGCGGAATGGAAATTTGATACAGCTATACGACTGCCTGATGTGCTGTGTGGTTTAATTTTTACTACGGCTTGTAACAACCAAACATGAAATGCAACGCCTGTGTACTCAGCTTTATATTAGTGTGTGATTCCTGGGCACTAGCACTGTTTGTGTTCGTTTTTAAGACAAAAGAACACCGAAACATTTGTTTAAATAATCTGAAAGAACTATATGGACTTTGCAGGCAAATAAGAAAAAAAGCCAAGTCTAACTTTTGGCTTTGCATTACTGAGTCTCAACCTACAGCCTTTTTGAACATCAATTCCTATTGGCTTCAATGGGAGACATGGCTGAATAAAGAGAGCTGCGCAAAGAGAATGGAGAGCTGCTTTAGACCTCTGCTGGGGACTCTCCTGACACAGGGGGAATACGCAGTTGGTGTAAAGCTACAGTATGCTCCCAAGAGTAGGATCAGGCAGGAGATGGGTAGCGGAAGGAGTGGTCCCTAGCTGACTGATGTAGACCACGTAATTGAGAACAGTTGGCCCTTAGGCTCCTAGACAAAATTAAGGAAGCAGAAAAGTGGCTTAGATCTCCTCTGTCCCATTGACTTCAGTGGAATTACTCCAGATTTATACAGCATTTGCAGAATTTGACCCCAGGGACAGATTTTCAAAGATACGTAGATATTTAAGGATGCAAGTAGGTACCTAGTGGATTTTCAAAAGCACCTAAACATGTAAGGTGCCTAACTCCCACTGATTTCAATAACTTGCTAAGATGCTTTTGAAAATCCCACTAGGTGCCTACTTGCATCCTTAAATATCTACATATCTTTGAAAATCTGACCCCAACTTTTTAACTCAGTCCAGCTGTTTGTCTAGCATAGTGACTGTTACATTTATACCGCCTCTGATGGTCGAGAAAGAATTATACCATCTGTTTGGAAGAAAATGAGGAAACAATAAAAAATGTGGTTCTGTTTCCAGAAGCAAAGGCCATTCAAGACAGATGGAAGAAATTGCTGCTGGTATTAGGGTTCAGTTTATTGCTTTAGGTGTTCCAGGTGTTTCCTGTCACAAAACTGAGGTTATACCCAGACCAAGAGATGAATGTATTTTATTGTGCTAACTTACCATATATCTATGATGGGGGCAGACAGTGGGAAAGAATTTTTGGCATCCCAGGTTAAAAATAGAAAAGGTCATTCTGAAAATGGGGGAACTGGCTCTGATGCCAAAGTATCCCATTCTTTATTATCAACATTTGTCAAGAATTTGTCCACAGCAAGTGATTCTTTAATACGGCTCCTTATGCCATTACAAACAACAGCGAAGATCTTCAAAACAGTGACTGGTGTTTTTGCGTGCCTCCGTTTCTAAGTGACTAATCTGAGACACTTTAAAGGGGCCTGATTTTAATGAACATCCACCCTCTGCAAATTAAGCCCCTTTAAGGTGCATCAAATAAAGCACCCGAGAATTGTGGTACCCCAAATCACGAGTCATTTTTTGAAAATGTTGGCCAATGTCTATTATTGATTTTCATGAGATAAGAAGTCAGTAGTGTTGTTATGTATTTACATTGATGTAATTTTGGGTTTCTACATGGCAAATTACTGTGAGAATCTACAGAACACTGGAAGTCCTTGAGTGCAGGTTAGTGTACTAGGCTTTCAAGTGGTAATAATCAGTCATACCCGGGACTTTCACAGCTGTGTCCACACAGGGGTGTTGATGTACAGCAAGCTGGTGCACTGCCAGTTTGCATCCTGGCTTGCCTAAGGGCACTAACTGCCCATAGAATTTAGCTTTTACTAGTGTGACAAAGTTCCTGCGCTACCGTGGTGGGTCTTGCGCTTATTGGCGGATTTGCTCGCCTTGGAGCTTCACGGCAGCCCTCAGCTTGGCCGTTTTTCTGAATTCACAGTCCTGGTCGACTCCTCCTGTGTCTGACCTGGAGTTGGGAGGTTTGGGGGGAATCCGGGCCCGCCCTCTACTCTGGGTTACAGCCCAGGGCCCTGTGGAATGCAGCTGTCTAGAGTGCCTCCTGGAACAGTGACAGCTACAACTCCCTGGGCTACTTCCCCATGGCCTCCTCCCAACACCTTCTTTATCCTCACCATAGGACCTTCCGCGGGGTGTCTGATAATGCTTGTACACCTCAGTCCTCCAACAGTCCGCATTCTCACTCTCAGCTCCCAGTGCCTCTTGCTCCCAGCTCCTCACATGCACACCACAAACTGAAGTGAGCTCCTTTTTAAAACCCAGGTGCCCTGATTAGCCTGCCTTAATTGATTCTAGCAGCTTCTTGATTGGCTGCAGGTGTTCTAATCAGTCTGTCTTAATTGTCTCCAGAAGGTTCCTGATTATTCTGGAACCTTCCCTGTTACCTTACTCAGGGAAAAGGGACCTACTTAGCCTGGGGCTAATATATCTGCCTTCTATTACTCTCCTGTAGCCATCTGGCCCGACCCTGTCACACTAGATATATTAATATTCTTCAGTATATGAACAGAAAATCCAAACCCATTCATGGTTTAACGCTATAGAGTATTAGGTGCTTTAATGAAATTTTCCAGAATTTCCATCTCTGTACAAAAGGGAGTCAGTTATATTTAATTAAAATGTGTGTAAGCTCCTGATGTCTTCCAAAAAAATACAACTATACGAAGGAAAAGAAATAATGTAAAAATACATGGTGTGTAGAATTCTACAAGATAGAATTAATATTAAGCAGGGTTTGAGCTCTGAACTAAAGGTGCTATTTAATCTACCAGAGAGCGCTGAAATGAATTTTAAATAAAGTCAGGCAGTTTTCTGATTCAGATAATTATTAGTGACTTTGAAATAAAGCTGCTCACTCATCTTTTTGTATTAGTACATCCACTTAGATATGGATCATTTGAATGATTTTCAAAATATGAGAAACACAATCAAAATAAAAAATATCACATTTCTGTGATAAAATAAATCATAATAAAAAATATCACATTCTGAAATGAAATGAGGTCCTCTACCTACCTCAGCTAGAGAGCCGTTTGCCAGCTGTGTGCATTGCTTAATGCATCCATGGAAATTCACTGGGTTTTGTCAAGCCAGCCTTATCCTGTATCTTAATTTTACATGATGTAATTCAATGCAGTATGGGTCTCAGTCCTGCAAGATGCTGAGAGAATTCTCACTGACTTGCTGAGGGCTTTCAGCATCTCATGATCCAGCTATATAAAGGACATTGTGCAGCTCCCCCTTAAATTGAGTGGGTACCAGGCACCAGCCACCCACAAGAAGCCTGAGCTATCAATTAGTCAGCTAGCAAAGTGTTCTCCTTCTTTTCATTCACCAGAATTAATCATAGATTGTTTGATTTGGCACATCTGCTAGAACAGCACATCAGTGTCCTTCTGCCAAATGCACACAGCTAATACATTACTAAATAAATTTCCAACGTGTTTTTCAAACATGTTCTCCTGAGACATGTGAACATATTTTTTTTCTTCATTCAGGTGACAAAGGAGTCAAAGGTTTATCTGGGGTGTCTGGAGGGAAGGGAAAAGCAGGTACTGTATGTTGGTTATCACTACATTTCCTGCACTGTGTCTTTCTACTAAGGGTGGTTGAACTTGCTGGGGTCCTGGGGTTTCCTGACATTTTGTAAGTTTGGGGTTTCACAGCAAAAATTGAGATCCATGAAATGTTTTTCATCCTTAATTTAAACCTGTTTCTTTATCGAGATTTTTTTTAAAACAAAATATGGATTTCTAACTAAATGGCAGCTTAGGCTGTGCAAACCATAAAGATCCTTGTGAGAAATTAACTGCATCCCTCGTCTTCCTGGGAGTAGCAGAAGAATGAAATAAAATACACAGCACCCCAGAGGTCATATATTATCAGGCCCAAACACAACCCAAACTTCAATGGTTTCAAGTTGTGATGGTCGTTAATTATTTCTACTGCACCATAAGTGCACAAGACAGTTTATTGACATAATCCCCCCCTCCAAAAAGTTTCCAGTTTAAGGGCTCCATGCTCTTTTCTATGTCCCTGGTAGAGAAGAGTCTATGCTTGAAAAGGGGGAGTGTTCCATGTCTGTGGCATGTTCATCCCTTTCTCTGACCTCATAGAAGTTCCCCACCCCAACTCTCTGGAGCAAGAGTAGGGGGAGCTAGGAAGCCAGCTGGGGGTGAAACCTCCTACATCTGGGATGGGCCTCCCCTACCCCAGGAAAGAACTGTTCTTTTTCAAGATCAGAGATATCTAAGTGGGTGAGAAAAATCTAAACCAAAACATCAATGAAAAGTTACAATCCCATGTTAAGGAGGCACAGTCCAGCTCCCAGTTAGGTCAATCAGAGTGTTATCATCCATGGGTGCAGCACTGGGGATAAAGAGATGCTAGCTTGTCACAAGTCAGCAGTAAGTCTTCTAGAAGGTCTGACAGCAGTATCATGGCAGATCAGGCAATACCATGCATCCCCGCCCGCCCTTCCCAGCTGGTGAATCAGGTGTTTTCTGTGTTGTACCAGGCACAGTCTGTGACTGTGGGAGATACCGCAAAGTTGTTGGACAACTGGATATTAATGTTGCTCGACTCAAGACATCCATGAAATTTGTCAAAAATGGTAAGCTTCATTATCATTTATTTTACAGTTCCCACCTTTTAATTCATTATTATTATTGTTATATTAAGGTATTGCCTAGAGGCCATGGCCCCCTTATGCTAGCCACTGTGGAAATGTATATAAAGAGACAGTCCCTGCCTCAAAGAGCTTCCTATCTAAGTGTAAGATTATAAGCAACAGGGGGATACAAACAAAGAGGTAAAGGGTGCTCCAGGGACCAAGGAGATGATAGGTACTACCATGAGTGTCACTGGGCACAGCACACCCACTGCCCAACCTTTGTCGAGTCTGTAGTAGGCATCACAGCAGAGAAGAGCTAAGGTGGGATTTGAAGGAGGACAATGGGGTGACTTTGTAGATATTTACTAGGAGCTGCGCCCAAGCTTGAGGGGTGGTCAGGGAGAAAGCACAAAGTTGCTTGTTGGAAAATGTTAAAAATATAATTAAAGGCCTTCAGCTCCGATTCTCCACTGCCTGCCACCTGGGCTAGTCACTTCCACATGAGCAGCAATCAGGGTGATAGCACTTTATAGTCACTTTGACTACCCTGACTATACAAGGAACAAGTGTGTGCCAGTCTGCTCCATGGTGTACAAGGGAAAAGGAGGACATGAGAAACCGCCTGCCCCTTCTGCCCTTGCACAGTAGCTGGGTGCAATTGGAGTCCCAGTGCTCACTCTTTCCTAGTGCACCTGGGGTGCCAGACCCCCGAAAGGGGGTAAGCATGGATAACGAGGAAGCATGCTTGTGGTCAGAGTTGCCCAAGCATGCAGCTGGGGAATGTGCTGTACTCCCTGAAGAGACAGAAGAGCGGCTACTCTGCCCCAGCACACCTGGGAGCTCTGGGTAGGATTCCACACTATGCACAGTGCAGGGCAGTGCTTGTATGACATGACTGAACCCTCAGAGGCCTGATTATTAGAGATGCTGAGCACCCTCAGCACCCTTTGTAGTCCATGGATATTGTGGAGACACAGCAGCTATGAAAATTGGGCCAAATTCAAAGGCTTAGCTTTAGTCACCCAGAACATTGGCCTCCACTTACACTGAGAGGGCCCTAATGCTGTTAGCGTTCTCGCTTTTGCTTTCTGGAGCACTATATTAAGTCACAAGTGAAGCGAATGTGATGATCTCCTCTAACTGCCCAGGCTTGTTTGTCCATCTGGCAGGACATGATCTGAGAACCACTGCTGCAGAGAGACCCAGAACTGAAATGCCAAGGGAGATGCCGGGCATTCAGGACTGAGGAGCATTATGCCTTGCCCTCACTTGTATAAGAAGCATGCCATCCTCATTAATATCATTCCCTGTTCAAGCCTTCATCATTGTCACCAGAAACTCAGTTGTGGGAAACCCATTTCCCCATTTTATGGGCTATTTCCATTGTTGTTCTGTTTAAGGAGAGGCTTGTGTACATTTTGAGAGACCGTTAATAGGATGTTTGTTTTTCTTTCTAAAGTAATAGCAGGAATCAGGGAAACAGATGAGAAATTCTATTACATTGTCCAAGAAGAAAAGAGCTACAAGGAGGCCATGACCCACTGCAGGATCAGAGGGGGGATGCTGGCAATGCCGAAGGATGAGGCAACCAATGCACTGATTGCCGACTACATCTCCAAGAGCGGCCTCTTCCGCGTGTTCATTGGGGTGAATGATATGGAAAAGGAAGGGCAGTTCATGTATGTGGACAACACCCCACTGCAGAATTACAGCAACTGGAAGGAAGGGGAGCCGAAGGACGTGTCTGTGCATGAGGACTGTGTGGAAATGCTCAGCACGGGAGAGTGGAATGATTCAGAGTGCCATTTGGCTATCTACTTTGTTTGTGAATTCAAGAAGAGAAAATAAAATGCCAGAGTGCTTGCCAGGCAGCTTCTGGACATGGAATAATTCCTCCTGATTTATCCGTTAGAGCTGACGCCCTGGGCAGGGCTAAGAGAGATAGGGCCTGATGCTGCACTCACATACACTGGTGTAAAGCAGGAGTAACTATGTTTACGTCAGTGGCGTTACACTGGTGCACGTGGAGTCAGAATCAGGCCTGCAGAGGGCTTCCTAGCTTCCCAACTCATGGGGAATCTCAGTGATTTGTGGTTTAAAGTTCTTGGGCTAAATTTAGAACCAGCATGAGTGAGTCTGACTCCACTGATGGAGCAACAGTATGTGAATAATGGGGAAAGTAACTGGTTGAACAGCTTATTGAAATGTTGCAAAACTCCACCGAGGGAGAGAGTGTGGCTTTTAGCCACACCAGCACTGCACTGGGGGTGGTGCACAACCACAATGCTCCACAGGCAGCACCAGGTGGTAGGCTGCACCAGGGAGGCACAATATTTTCTGCAGCTCCCTGGTTGTGTTCGAGAGTGGAGGCGTACTGTGCAACGTCCCTTTAAGAGCTGCCCAAACCCTATTCTCCTGCCCCTGTGGTGCCTGGATGGATATATTGGCTGGCATGGAGCATCGCTCCACCTGCTCCCCACTTCTCCCTGCCCAGTTGTTCTGAGATAGTGGTTACCAGGCCTGGGACTCCAGGGGGTGCTGGACCACTGCAATGTTCAGCCTTTTTCTTTCTCCAGGGGTTGGCTGGCTGTGGGTTTTGTTGGTTTGGTTTTTGGGTTGGGTTTTTTTAATTCAGCCACTTGGGGGATGGGAGGTGAGCACCAAAAATGTTTTCTGGTCAGCTACCTGGCTAGGGCTGCTCCTGCTTGCATGAGCAAGTGGTCAGCAATGAAAGCGAAGGCTTTGCTATCCGATCCCAGCTATTTATTATTCTACTTGGGCATTTACCGAAGAGGCCAGATTTTGATACCCTTGCTGGTGCTTCCTCCCTGAGTACTCCTGGCGAAGTCATTGGGGATGCTCCAGGCTATTTCTGTAGGAAATAATCCAAGATCATTTGGATATCAAACTTGATTTTAACCCAGATTTTAAAGGTGTTTAGGATATAACATTTTAAAAAGTGATTTAGGCCCTTAGGAGTCTAAGCTATGTCTACACTACCACAGTAAGTTGACCTATGCTACGCAACTCCAGTTATGTGAATAACGTAGCTGGAGTTGACATACCTTAGGTTGAGTTACCACGGGGTTTACACCATGGGTGGTCGACGGGAAAAACTCTCCAGTCAATTTACCTTACTCTTCTCATCAGGGGTAGAGTATGGGGTCGACTGGAGAGCAATCTGCTGTCCATGTGGCATGTCTTCACTAGACCTGCTAAATCGACCACTGCACCGCTGTAGCACTTTAGTGAAGTGCTCTGCTGAGAGGGCTTCTCCCACTGGCGTAGGTAATCCATCTCCCCAAGGGATGGTAGCTAGGTGGAGGGGAGAATTCTCCTGTTGACCTAGTCCTAGCCTATACTGGGGATTAGGTCAGTTTAACTGCATCTCTTGGAGGGGGTGTGTGGATTTTTCACACCCTGAGAGACATAGTTATACCCAAGTAAATTCCTAGTGTAGTCCAGGCCTCAGTATCATTGAAAGTCAGTGGGACTTAGGATGTTAGGTCACTTTAGAAAATGGAACTTAGCCATCTAAGTCATTTAGGCCTTGCAACACGGATCAGAGCAACTTCTAAATAGCTTTAGAAATCTGAGCCTTTGACTTACGGCCAAGCCCTGAGCTGGGGGTGGGTCATATGAAGTGGAGGAAAGAAAGAGAAAAAGAAATGATTTGTTGCAGGGTCAAAGCATGATGTGTGGGAGACCTGACTTGGTTTACAGCAATTCCATTTGAGTTCCTTATTCAAATACATGACCAAATCAAAACAATGGTAAGACATCTGAACAACTGTTCTTTGGCTAGCGATGAGTTAAAGTAATCCAGGAGCATGCTTAGAGCTTGGGGAGAAAAGCACTAAGATAGCCTTCAGTTGCATGGCCAAGGATACAAAAAAGAGAAGTGAGCCAAGAACTAATTTGTGGGTATCTTCTATTCTCAAAGAGTGCAATGTCATTTGCTAGTATTGGCTGATTACACTGAAATCATTGTCAAATACACCTCTTTCCTCCTGTTCCAAGGCAGTAACATTTGTGTAATCTTTTCCTTTACAGAAAAAAAGAATTAAATGTAAAAATATCCTACTTGTGCATTCATACAACGTTATGGTTAAGATTTGGTCACTAACTTTTTATTAAAGATAACCAAAATTTAGGGCAATACAATTATTTTATTAATGTATTAAAAGAAAGGTTGACAAGACAAAAAGTAGGTGAAAACAATGGAGTTGAGACTCAGAGTAGTTTAGTTACAGTACAGTGGGAACACCTAAAATGTTCGTTCTGCTCCTAGAGATACTCACGATTTCACAGCTATTCCCTATTTTGGGAAATAGATGTTTAGGACAACCACTAGAACTGGAAATGTTGCGAGAACCGGAGTGAACTCTTAAGTGCACCTACTGTAGATTTTTACATACACTGTCTATAATGTGTATACAGTAAAACTTATACCCATGATTTTTTTATTAAAATCGTTTTAGCCTGTTTGGCCCATCTTTCCTCAAACAGTTCAGCCATTAATCTCAGACAGGCACTAAATCGTTCCATTTCCCCTAATTCTTTTATTCTGTTTGACCACATGTTGCCAGTTGGTATTTGATTTTGCAGCTACGGTGATGGAATACATTTCTTGGCCAAAGTCAAAAGACTTCTAAACAGGTATCTGAATTTGTTTAATTTCAAATAAGATCTTAAAGGTACACAAGTCAGAAAACACAGCCATTATAACAACCACATGACATGTACTAAGACAACTAACAACACTATGTTTAGTAATAAAAATAGCACCTATGCTATGAGGGAAGTAGAAAAGTTGTATTTGCTTTGGAAAGCACTGGTCTGGCTTTTCTGTGCTTACATTTTGCATTTAATTCATATTTAGTGTGATCAAGAATGTTGTGAAAGAAGGAATAAGCAGGATCAAAAGAAAGGTATAATGTTTGTTGCTTTCTGTTTGCACGGGAAGTGAGAATAACATCTTGTAAAGGTATTTTGAACTCTTCCTGTTTAATCTGCACATACCGTGTGCCTGACTCTGCAGTCATCCCACCCCACCCTCTTCAGAGTTTCTCCATGCTGATATTTCAACATACTGAGACAACATTTCACTCTAAGTTTTATTAGAAGGGTGGGGCTGGTAATGTGTATTGTACTGGCTGGTATGGTCCTGTCTTACAGACAACAGTGGCAACCCAGGAGAATAGTAAAGCAAACTAAAGAGAAACCACAAGAAGGATTTGGTGGGGTGAGAGGAGCGTGCATATTCTTAGGCTCTGATTCAGCAAAGCACTTGTACAGTGCCCAACTGTAAGTGTGTGTTAAAGTCCCTTTGAAGTCATGTGTGTAAGTGTTTTGCTGAACAGATGGATTTAAGCATGTGCTTAAAACAGTCCAGTGCTATTTATTCTTTTGGTCTTATTATTTCAAGTGTAGAATGATCAAATACTATTTAAAGTAGACAACAATTAAATAAATGTATCCTTTAAGGTTTTGGAAGTCATGAATCCTGTTGCGACTATTTCCTTTCACTACACAATCGAAACCTATTTTATCTTATCTACAATTCACCAGTGAGCTGTCCTTTATTGGCTCACCTATTTCCCAGCTTTATGAAACCTTTACAACAATGTTATTACTTTTAGTTACTTACATAGCACCAGAGGACAGCACACTAGAGCTTTACAACACATGCAAGTACTATGGGGGCACTGCACTTCACCAAGCTGCTTACCATCCAGATCGGATAAATATAAACCAAACAACTAAAAGGATAAAGCGTGAGGCGGAGAGCAGACTGAGTCATGGCTGATCAACAATGGAGGATTAAGCAAAAAGCTGTGAGTCTTAAGGAGGATTGTGGAGTTGGAGGAAGCTCAGCACATAGTCATACATGGAACAACTTCCCTCTTCTATCGAGTCAACTTCAAGGTCTCGCTCCTTATCTTGAAATCACTCAATAACCTTGACCCAGCATAGAAAGAAGATGGCCAAAAGCTCTGCGCTTAAGACAGACAACTCAGACAGCTCAGCTCCTCTGGTACAATGGAACTTTCTACACTAAGGGTAAAGCTTATCTGGGCAGGAGACCGCTTTCCTAGGGAACAGTTCAGGACTGTGAACTTAGCTCCCAGAGGAATGAAAGACCACCACAGACCTCACCATCTTCTACTTCAAGTGGAAAGGGCAGTTTTTTGACTTGCCTTCTTCAGTATCAACAGAGCAGTATGAACATTTAATAAACAAAAAATAAAAACAATACCCCACCTAAATGAAACATTTCATTGAACACAATTATCCCCCTGGGGAGATCTGAGAGAGAGACACAATGAAACACAGGTGACTGCTGTTAGTCATATCACTTAATGCATCACTCAAAGGCAATCAAATATTAGGCATGGTGGGTGGTATAAGAATAGAATAGAATAAGAAAATGTGAAAAAAGCCTGGAGTTAAGAGTGGGGGGAAAGGGAATTAAGGAAGGGAAACTAAGCAGAGCCCAATAATTTGTTTCATTTATGCATAATTTGTGTTTGGCTAAAGCATATCTTCCAGAAAGGCAGCTAGTTTTGATCTGAAAACATCAAAAGGTGGAGAATCCACTACGTTCCTTGGTAGTTTGGTCCAGTGGCTAATCACCCTCACTGTCACAAAACTTGTGCCTGAGTTAGAGTTCAGCCATTCCTACTTGTTCTGCTTTTCTCCACTAAATTAAAAGAGACCACCGCTACCCAGTATGTCTCCCACTTGAATCAGGTTATCTCGCAATCTTCTTTTTGATAAAATAAATAGATTGAGCTCTTTAATGAGACAAGGTGGATGAGGTAATATCTTTTATTGGGCCAACTTCTGTTGGTGGAAGATACAAGCTTTCAGATTTAAAAATTTTATTAAAGCTAATGTTAAAAAAATTATATAATACACAGGTTGGGAAAAGAGTGTCTGTACATCTGGGTGTAGTGCTTAGATTATCCACAAATACAAAGTTTGTTTTTAAAAGTGATATGATACATAGAGTACATAATCAGCAATAATCCAAATTGAGGTGAATAGATTTAACAGTACAGTTTAGATATTAGAATCTGAATACTTGGGTACATCACTCATGAAAGACAGAGATTTGGTTGTGGAAAGCAAAATATATCAATGAGTGGAGATTGTCCCTCAGTAATTGACAATTAGGTTGGTTGTCCATTTAGAAAATGCAATCCATGAGGAAAATGTGTGTTACTGTGTAGCTGCAAGCCCCATTTGAGAGTTTGGCAGATGCGACAACGCCATCCAAGATCACCTGGCCAGAGCTGTCCCACCACCCATGGGGAAGGTTGCCGTAAATGCCGCCATCCCCGGAACCGACAGACAACTGCGACCGGACATCGTCATCACCAATGAGGACCGGAAGAAGATCATCATGGTGGATGTGGCAGTGCCATTCAAGAACAGGACCCCGGTCTTTCACAATGCCCGAGCTCGACAGGTAGAGAAATACGCCCCTCTGGCCAAAACCTTTTGAGCTAAAAGTTATCAGGTCCAGACACACACACACGGATTGTCAGAGCCTTAGGCGCATGGGATCCCAGTAATGAGTGACTGCTGAGAGAATGCGGAATTGGTCAATGCTATGCTCGGCTGATGAAGCAACTCATGGTGTCAGATGCCATCAGGTGGTCGAGGGATATCTACATAGAACACATCACTGGACACTGGCAATACCAGGAGGGATGAGCTACAGTGCTGATCAGAAGTGCAGTCAGGAAAGTAACAAATACACAGAGCTCTGCTTTGGGTCCGCAAAAAGGTACTCAGAGTATTAAAGCAACATACAAAGTGGAACAAATTGTTTAGGAGAAGTAGTTAGCACATATT